AAATCCCTACATCAGGGAGAAAATTCCCCGGGCATTCTACAGCTAAAGGACATTGGTTACATGAGAAACATGTGACTTCCTGTGAGTAACATAAACAAACATTTAACCCCAGATATACTAAGTGTTTTCAACTTGTAATACCCAACACAGGTCTACTCTCTACTGTTATGGAGAAATGAGGTCTGCTAGCAGGCCAGGTATCCCTCATCGCCCCGTTTGGGCGGGGTATGTGTGTATATAAGCAGGCCATAATGCTCAGATCAATCCTCCTAGTGTTTGTTTCCACTCGTGTTGGGTCCTAGCAAACTTCCAAGACACTGAAAACGGGCTGCGCCTCTGTACTTTTCTCTGGGAGCACTCAATCTCATGGTTTTTTAATGTTTCTAAAGCAAGTTTCTAGATCTCATGGTACTGGAGGACAGCTTTGAAATGCGAGGGCCGTGTTTGAGTTTGGGAAACTATTGAGTGGCTTCGCAGTGCATTTTTGGCAGACGTATTAAAGCTCTGTGAACTCAGTATTGCCTAGCAAGTCTGCAGGATGAAGCCCCAAAGCCTCACGGTCATGGCTCAAAACACTGTTTTTCTTTCCCCCGCCCCCTTTCTAAATATCCAGTGGAACAAAGAATTGTGAAGATCTCAAAAGCTTGCATGAGAAGCGTGACACAATTTCATGAAAGCCAGCACATGGCTTTTGTTTCCAGGTTTCTCTCTTCCACAGTTATGTTTCCTTACCTATCCGGGACCATCATATTATACTCTCTGCGGGCTTTCCTTTCTTCATCCTAGTACAATTTGGATTATTGTACTGTTTCTAAATGAGATTAGGCATAGTTAACACTGGCCTACGAATCTACTGAGGAATTAGTATTACCCAGGGCTATTTTTGGGAAGGAACGCACAGGAATGGAGTTCCGGCTGGCTCCTGAGTTGGCCACGCCCAGCAGGAGCTCATTAGCATAACAGGCCACACCCAACAGCAGAAACGCATTAGAATTGGCTACATAAGGGGGGGGGGGTGTCCTAACATGCAAAGGAGTCCCTGCTACAAAAAAAGCCCTGGGTTTTGACAACAAACAAGGTCAACAGAATAAGAAGCAAAAGGTGGGTGTGGCTGGATTACCACACTTCTGGTAACACGAGGGTGCGGCCTAATATGCTAATGAGTGGTGCAGTCAGGGGTGTGGCCTAATATGCTAATATTTTTCTGCTGTTGGGTATGGCCTATTATGCTAATGAGTTCCTGCTGGGCTTTTTCTACCAAAAAAGCCCTGAGTATTACATTGGGTTGCCAGCAGGCATCTGGGACTGGGCGGGAGACCGGAGAAGTAGGCACATGGGGACGAACCATCTTATCAACTGCATTGATGTCATTTCCAGGGCAAACCTGTAAGTGATATCACCAGAGGTCATTTCGGGGGGGAACGCAGTTCCCCCAGGTGAGGTGCGGGTGGGCGGGGCACACGATGAAGCCCCGCCCCCTGCTTCCAGCCCTTATTCAGCCAGGAGGAGGCAGGAGAAGAGGGAGGGTAAGTTGCTTCCTCCCCGCCTCTCCCCACCCCTGTCTGCCTGGGGCCAGGGAGGGCCTTGGCGGGGCTTCCTCACACTCCCGCCGGCCTTGCAGGTCCACCGCCGGGCCCCTGATGTCAGGGGGTGTGGCATATACTAATGAATTATGCTAATGAGTTCCCCTAGCTCTTTTTCTATGAAACGACCCCTGGATATCACGTTGCTCTACAGCTTTACTACAGAGTTTCCTCTGATTCCTAGAGTGGCATGACATCACTTCCGGGTTTGCCCTGGAAATGACGTCATGCTTGCGATGCACTGGGGATTTTTGATTCAATTTTTTCCCCTCAACTGGGTGTAGGCAAATAGGAGCAGCAACCAGTGGGAGATTTCCCACAGTAGCAGGAGATCTGGCAGCCTTTGTTTTACAGAAGGACCTCCTTGAGGAGGGATTTGAAGAGATGGGCTTCTTCCGTTACTCCCGTCCTAGAAGGTGACCTACCAGTGAAGCCTGTGGATAGCCACCGCTCCTTTCATGCACCTCTCGCCCGTAGATTGGCAACCAGGTGGCCTGTTGATAATTCTCAGGAAGCTGTTTGTTTGTTTGTTAGTTTCCTGGTGGCCTCTTACTGATGTTCCTTAGCCTCTGTGTCAATCCATCCTAAGCCTTAGAATCAGAAGAACAAGACGCTGGGTTAAGGAAGAGCGCGTAACCCATTTGGTTGCTCGGGCATTTGGTTGCAGGGGAGAGCAAAGGGGGGGGGAACGCCTCCGATCTTCCCCTTCTTTTGTTGCATTCCCCCCCCCGGCTTCCTCCAATTACCTTTTTTTGTTCTGTTTCATTTCTAGCGCTGCTCTCGTCGTGGTGTGAGGAGCTGGGACGGCTCTTACTGCTGCGCCACCAGAAGAGCCGGCAGAACGACCCCCCGGGGAAGCTCCCCATGCAGCCGCCCATGAACTCCATGAGCTCCATGAAACCCTCCCTCTCGCATAGGTGAGTCCTGCACTGGCCCTTGGCCCCACACACGTTAGCACATTTGGCCCTGCACATGTTAGCGCCCGCCGTCCTGCCAAAACCCCCCCCACAAAAACATGTGCTTGGAATGCTTGTGACCAAGTAGAGGAATAGATGCATTTATTTCATGAAAGGGAGGTGTAGGCATCCCCGTATGCCCTTGGCAGCTTGGCGTTGATTCTGTTCCCTTGACTTCAGACACTGACGTAGGGATGCCAGCCTCCAGGGGGGACCTGGGGATCCCCCGGGATTACAGTTTATCTCCAGACTACAGAGATCAGTTCCCCTGGAGAAAACGGATGCTTTGGAGGAAGAACTCTCGGGCATTGTACCCCACTGAGGTTTCCCCGTGTCCTCCCCAGGATCCATCCCCAAATTTCCAGAAGTTTCCCAACCTGGAACTGGCAGTCCTAGCCCCCCCATCCGCTTGCCAGTGGCCGGGGAGGGATACCCAGCAGCCCTACACCGATGTGGTGTAGAAAGTGACTGATTCCCCACAAGCCGCTGCGCCGCCCTCGCTCTTCTCTTCTCTTTCCCCCGCTTGCATTGGTCGGTTCCACACTATTCGCCGCGCGGCGGCATTTTGACCCGCAGCCCCCTGCGATTTCCCCCCGCGTCTTCTCGACTCTTGTTTTTTGAGATCAGGAAGACATGGGGGAAATCGGGGGGGGGGGAGCCGCGGGTCAAAATGCGGCCACGCAGCGAATAGTGTGAAATCGACCAATGAAAGCAGGGGGCAAAGAGAAGAGCGAGGGCGGCGCAGCTTCTCGTGGGGAATCGGTCAGGTTCTGTGTACGAGTTCCCCTTAAACCCGGACCGCAGTTTCCTTAAATCCAGCATTGCTCATGTCTTCCTACCTGGCCAATTCTTATTCTTCAGATCTTCAGGAGACTGATAACCAGGGGTTTAGATCTAGTCAAGATAAGTGCCGTTATAGAAAGGATGAAACGGGCCCTTTGGACTACAGGTAGTCCTGCAGCATCACCCTTCCACACACACACCCCTTGTGTGTCTCATCCTGGGAGCACGTGGGGAATCCCGGAAGTTCCTTTTTGGGTGGGAAGAGTGCCCTGACCCAGCAGCCTTCCCAGTCATACGTTTGTCTGTGAGAAGAAAGGGAAGCCAGTTTGGGGTTGAGCTCTGTGGGTTGGGAACATGAGAGGGCTCTAGACAGCCTGGGGACTGGGGCTGTGTCCCCATCCATTATTTCCTGCATCCGTTATTCTGGGCGAGGGGGAGTAGGGTTGGAAAATAGGGGGTTTCCCTCTCAAAGGAAAAAGCGGAGGTGGACTCAAGAGGACGCTGCTGCTTAGCACCCGCTGCCGCGCTGGGGGGTTCAACCTGTCCATTTATTAAAATCCAACCGCCCTTTTCTATTCCCCCCCCTCCTTTTTTAATAAACCTTTTTATAAACACATTTTTCACTTAGTACGACTTATCTCTCCGGGGTTTTCCCTTGAATCTCTTCCCCGTGTGCTAGAGTGGATGGGTACTTCCTAGTTTTCTGTAAAGTGTTCCCCAAGGTTTCTACCACCTCACTTCATTATCGCTGTAGGACTGCACCAGAAGGGAACCTTTTTTCGGTGGGTCAGTCTAGAGGTCCTGAGTGGTGGTGGTGGTGGTGGCTGGTTACCCGGGGTGTTTTCCAGGGAATCCTTGCTCCAAGGGAGTTTCCCCACAAGGAAAGACACCGTTCCCCTCCCTCCCCAATTCTACTTTATCAGTTGGCTGGTTTCCTCACAGACCTCTCCACCTCCTCCCCTCCCTTGCTCATTTCTCCCTTCTTTTCTATTCCGGTCCCTCCTTCAGCTGGGCTTCTGCCACATCTCCTGGCCATTTCCCTAAGCTTGCCCGGCTTTCTCCTGGTTATCCTCAGCCATTCTGCCCACCTAACCCTGTCCCTCGGCAAACGGTCGCACAGCCGTGCCACGAGGTGAGGAGGTAGGCCCCCGAGGAGCCATTTTAATACCTCATACACAATTGTGAGAGTCACCTCACCAAACCTGTACAGTTTTCCTCCCACAACCAAGGTTATAAAACTCCAGGGCTATTTTTGGGCAGGAACGCACAGGAACGGAGTTCCGGCTGGCTTCAGAGTTGGCCATGCCCACTACAGGCAAAACTTCTGCACGCGTGGCTACAAAGGGAAGGCCTGGAGAGCGACACCCCCCCCACGACTCCAAGGTGAGCGGGCTGGGGGGGCCCCTGGAAGGATCAGGGAGGCATTTAAATGCCTCCCTGTGCCTTCCCTGGCCTGCCCAAGGGTTGGCTTGCCCGGGCTCCCCGTAGCCGCAGGGCGCCTGGGCAAGCCAAAAGAAGGCAGTTTAAACTGCCTCCCCTCCAAGGGCTGGCTTGCCTGGGCTCCCTACAGCCGGGGCGGTGCCCGGCCAAGCCAAGGGAAGGCATGGGGTGTGGTCTAATATGCTAATGAGCTGCACGGTCAGGGGTGTGGCCTGATATACTAATGCGTTTCTGCTGTTGGGGGTGGCCTGTTATGCTAATGAGTTCCTGCTGGGCTCTTTCTTAAAAAAAAAAGCCCCGTAAAACTCTTTGCTAGAGGATTTCTCTGGAAAATTTCTGAGATGTGCCCTTATCGCAGCTACAAAAGAATGATCAGAGCACTGTACTTTTTTTTAAATCTCAAGTGTAGTCAGAGGCCTGTCCTCCGTCCCCTTCCCACCCCCTTTGCTGTCTGGCTTGCACTTTCAAGTGATAAATGTAATGTTTGAAGGAGTAACCAACTACCCAGGTGGATTCTTCTCCCGTTTTTTCATGTACCCCACAGGAAAGCTGCAGGGGTCCCACATAAGGTGTTGTAACCAGGGCTTTTTTTGTAGAAAAAGCCCAGCAGGAACTCATTAGCGTAATAGGCCACACCCAACAGCAGAAACTCATTAGCATATTAGGCCACACCCCATGTTGCCAGAAGTGTGGTCATCCAGCCACACCCACCTTTTGCTTGTTATTCTGTTTACCTTGCTTGTTGTCAAAATCCAGGGCCTTTTTTGTAGCAGGAACTCCTTTGCATGTTAGGCCACACACCCCTAATGTAGCCAATCCTAATGAGTTTCTGCTGTTGGGCGTGGCCCAGGGGTCATTTCGGGGGGGAACGCGGGGGATCGCAGTTCCCCCGGGTGAGGTGCGGGGGGCGGGGCACATGATGAAGCCCCGCCCCCTGCTTCTGGCCGCCCCGCTTCCGGCCCTCATTCAGCCAGGAGGAGGCAGGAGAAGAGGGAGGGTAAGTTGCTTCCTCCCCGCCTCTCCCCACCCCTGCCTGCCTGGGGCCAGGGAGGGCCTTGGCGGGGCTTCCTCGCACTCCCGCCAGCCTTGCAGGTCCACCGCCGGGCCCCTGATGTCAGGGAGTGTGGCATATGCTAATGAGTTATGCTATTCCTGCCCAAAAGTAGCCCTGGTTGTAACACGTGATTGTGGGACCAAGATCTGGGGAGTGTGGGAACGGGGCAGGCATGGGCTAGCAAGAACGAGAGGCCAAGATAACATAAACTACAAATGTTGAAAAGGATATGGGTTCAGGAGGACAAAAGAACAGGGGATCATGAACTGTGTCAAGGATGAATTATGCTCCCTGTTCTGCTAGTGTATGTGACAAATGGATTCAAGTATTAGCCTAGATAAGGCTGCAGAAACTGAGTCTTCAGTTCTGAAAATATATACTTACAGCAAATGCCCCAAATGGGGGAAGATGTCGGGCAAATTCAGCAAAGCTCTAAAAACTAAGATACACCCTGGCCAATGTTCCCTCTAAGCTGTGGAGTCTTCTGAGCAAAAATTCTACTTTGTGAGCTATTGGCATTAAAGTTGTGAGCAAGCGATTTGGCCACTGCATTAAAGTTAGTTTGCTCTGGAACCATCCTTCCTGAGCTAAGACAAAAATGTGTGAGCTGGAGGCTAAAAAACTGTGAGCTAGCTCACACTAACTCAGCTTAGAGGGAACACTGACCCTGGCATATGTAGGCAGGCACCTAGTCCGTGTTCACCGAGATACGAAATATGATGGGAAATTTATCTGGCTTTTGGTCCTGTGCAAAATTCCTCTGGAATGATCAGAATTCACACGAGAAGGTCAACGTTCACCATGTTTCGGGCATTTAGGGTGGAAGTCGAGCATACAGGCTGGACACAGTGACATGGCTGCAGAAAGAAACAGCTATGCCAGCTTCAGTGGATTGGCACCACACGTTATGGCTGTGCGACCCACAGGACTGCACCCTCAGAGCTGTAGAAACAGAACGTGACATTTCATCCAAAAGGAGCCCATTTGTTTGTAAAATGTACCCTTGACGGCGTATGGCTATAAATTGCTCAGGTTAAATTTCCATATACTGCAGCTGAGTTAGTTACTATTATTTTAATTTGGGAAGGAAGCAAAATTTGCCCTATTTTGTTCCTGAAGTATTTTAATGGTGCTCAGGCTAGATTTAAGTGTGGGAAGCAGCGGCTTAAAAGACATAACTTTTTTTTTTTGCTTCGTTATTGACTCAATTCCCAGGCTTTACAAAAGTCTTCGGATTGCACAAAAGGATACCCCCTAGGCCGCCCTTTTAAAGTTGAATAATTGTTTGTCGTTTATTGTCTTGAGCTCAAGAGAAAGAAATGGAAGCAAACGTGTGATGTTGCATAGGCTCGTGTTAACCTTGCTGGATCATAGGGCTGCCAAGTCCCCCCAGGAGGCAGGGATTCCCCCGCTAAAAGGGCCCCTAATCCGCCGGTCTGGGTCCAGCTGGTGGGGGGAACCCTACCCCCAAAGTGGCCAGATCGGGCCAATGGGCCAGGCGTGATGATGTTGCCCGGAAGTGACGTCATCACGCTGGGCCACGTTGCCAGGCGGCACTCTTGCAATCGCCCTGAAACTCTATGGTACCATAGAGTTTTTCAGGCCGGTTGCTAGAGCGTCACCCGGCGACGTGCCCAGCATGATGACGTCACTTCCAGGCGATGTTATCACGGGGCGTGCTCCG